CGTCTGAGTCATCCTTGCTTGGCTTAATGTAATGTACACATCTAGATGTGTATAAGAGACAGCCATTCAACAATACGGGCAAGACTCCGGCCAGCAGGTAGGCTCCGCAGTCCTAACAGCCAAACTCCAAATCCAGCGCTCTGTCTCCCCTCCCTTTTAATAGGCGCGCTCACTGTCGCCGGTACGTTATCATTTATTGCTCCACAATACTTTGTGAGATGCGAACGAATCTTCCCCTCTAACTTGTGACTCAGTGCCCAGGCTACACTGACAGCCTGTGGATTGGCAATACCGCCCCACGACATCAGCAGCAGCAACTGAAATACACAGAAAAAACGTCGTTCTTGGAGGCCGCCACCAAAACCAGGTGCGTGCCTCCACCTCATTCCCTTCCTTCCCCCTCTCTCCCACTGTGACGGTCTCCTCTTCTCTTCCGGTACCTGGTCTGAATCCCGACCAGCTTCATACAGCCTCCTTCTATAGGAAGAGCAGATTCGAAGTGACCCTCTTACTGAGAAGCAGCCAGGTGCACTTCTTAGGATGAGCCTGGTCGATAGATGAGCCTGGTCGATAGGTAAGTCTCCAGCCCGCAGCCGACCTCACGCCCCTTCCTCCACTCTGACTACCCCAGCCCGCAGCCGACCTCACGCCCCTTCCTCCACTCTGACTACCCCATCTGCGAGCTGATCCTCGAGGAGTACGATACGGCCCCACCCATCGTCCAGCAGGTAAGGCCTCTTTCCCTCCCTCTATATGCTGAGCTCGTCCCTCCTGCTGCCTCTTTCCCTCCCTCTATCTGCTGAGCTCATCCCTCCAGCTGCCCCGCCCTCGGTTTGCGAACGCACCTGGCCGCTTTCCAGGCCAGGTTCGTTCAAAATTCTGGTGGACGAAGACCACGAATAGAACACAACCCGACGCGAGGACCAGGATCGGAACAGGCCATGATCAGTAAGGTGAAGATCGCGACCTCGATGAGCTGCAGATGGAAGATGAGCTGCAGATGGAAAGGTCCACGAGCTTCGGGCTACCTCTACTGGGAAAAAAAAATAAAAAAATGAAAATTAACCTTTCGTTCAAACTATGGACAGATACAGTCATTTTTCTCATTTTTCTTCCACGCAGCCCTTTCAGACGGTAGCGGTCGACCCTCTGGCCAACTATGGCATCTGCTGCAGCCAAGGTATCAGAAATGCCTCAAACCCCCACTTTAATATCCCTTCTCACCCGTTTTCACTAAGGAGTGAGTGAGCTACACCTTTATCACCCCGTCACTCTTCTCTTCTCGACATCACCACGCAGTCCCTTTCTCACGTACCTGCAAATCTATCCACTAACATCAAAATCTAACCCCATAATCCGATTCTCAGCTACTAAAAGCCCCTATTTCGCATCCTCCTTCGCCCAAATCCGCCCATTAAAGAGCGAGAAAACTCTTCGGAATCCTCCCTTTTTCTCTTTTGCTTCGTCCATAGCTCCGCGCGGTCCTCTTTTCACTATTCTCCTCCTACACTACTCCATCCACCATTCTGACTCTGCCATTCGCCTCGCCCTGTCAAAGAACCTCTATCTCCTACCTTCCCTTGCCTAAAACGGAGGCGGAATGGGTGAGCTACGAACTCAGCCCTCGGCCATAGTCATTCCCCCCCCAAACTCTGCACGCACCTGCAGCAAAACCTCGTCCAGGTTCAGTGTGTTCTTTCTTCCTCGTGGCCGGCTGTCTGTTGCCCTCTGCTTCGTTGCCCAGCTTCACCCAGCCGTCCCTACAACGCCCTGGCATGGTCCGCGTGGTTGCTGCCTTTCCCTTCCGATAGACCTCTGTTACGCCCCTCTCTCATCAAGGTCATACCGGTCCTCCTCATGCTCACCATCTCTCCTTTTCTTTCACCTCCATCGTCTCCACCTCCGCGTATCCCCCCTGCTGCACTCGCCATCTCCAGTCTAAGTACACCTGGTGCAGCCTAGCGCCCAGGCTCGTTCCACCCCCGCTGCTGCCCTTATGCCGCAGCACCCAGCGATCCGCTTGGTAGAGGGGGCACTCGGCAGCGGCAACCCATCGAACACCACAGCGTCAGCAGCATCAAGCTGTCCCCCCGCTTTATACTAGTCGGGGCCATGCTAATCTTCTCTGTATCGTTCCAATTTCTAACAGATGTCCCGAAGGTCTACAGCACCCCAGTGGAACCCCGGCAGTTCGTGGTGTACCCATGAAACTAGGCTGAGGGCTTTACTGCAAGCCTCCGTACTGGCACGGGCCTTGCCTCGGAACAATTAAAAATAGGAAAGAAACATCGACTGCGTGTTCAGCTCAACTGGCGTACTATTCTTTCGCCTTTTACTAAAGAATACCGTGGGCTGGTCACACAAAGCAGTTTACGTCAATTTTTGACGGCTTGCCGCTCCGGCGAGCCATAAAAAAAAATAATAATAAAAAGAAAAAGGAAAAATAAAAAAATGAGAACTTTCTAAGACCTTAGGGGTAAAAGAAAATAATGATAATAAACAAGGGGAACCGGGTGGGGGAGGAGGACCGTTGGTACTTGGTCCTACCTCACAGGCCCGCCACCGGACTCCCCAACAAAAACTGAAGGAATAGTCCCACAGGACCCTCAACCCCTCGGTTCACTTCATAATGCCCTCGGTTCACTTCATAATGCTCCTTCGCTGCTCACTGCTGGCCTTGACCCTAGAATTTGCCTGGTAAGAGTCTAGCACTGTAACCACAACGCTGAGCCCACACCTACACAAGTTACGCGCTAACCTGTGTATGGATGGTAACCGTGGCCAGCCTGGGCCTGCGGCAGCAGCGTTAAGAATGCCACTTGACTTCCTGTTCCAACCCACGGCCCTGCACGCATGCGCCTGCGGTTAGGGGCCGGATTTCGCTCGGTACGTCACGCCTGTAACCCCCATAGTGCTGCGTGGAGGCCACCGCTCGTGTCTACGGTGCCTACACACCGGCCTTTGCTGTAGGAAGGGACAATTTTATTTTTTTTATTTTTATTTTTTGCTACCGTCGCGCAAGCAGCACCAATGTGCCGCTTCCTAACAAATCCACTTATGACGGCGCATGCCATATGAGCGCGGGTGGGCCATGGTCAATCCACTAAAGGACAACCCTCCCTAGCCTTTAATCAAAGCCAAAATGTTGTCGGTGGACACACCTACTCTATAGCATCAAGGAAAAAATGACCATCACGCGCGCCTCTAAACTGCGCGCCCACACACCCCCTACTCTAATCAAGCATCCTACCTACGCAACCAACAGACTTAGGCGCGTCTCGCGCGGCACACTTTTAAACAGCCATTTCGTCAAAACGGACATATTATATTTTTTGAACGAAATCAAACTGACTTTTTTTGCCAAAATCCGGTCGGAAATTTTTGCTCCTGTATGTCCGTTTTGACGAAATGGCTGTTTTTAGATCTTTACTCTTACGTCCGGTCACCTGCAAAAACTAGGGCGGATACCCTTGTCAGGGTATTCGCGCCGACAACGCGATAGAGATTATCCCAGGGTCTAGTATTCCGAAGGGTAGAATCTATCGGATGTCTCCAGGCGAGCTCGATGAGCTCTGCCGCCAACTCAAAGAACTCGTAGAGAAGGGTTGGATCCGGGCGAGTGTCTCTCCTTATGGGTCTCCTGTTCTATTCGTGCCTAAGAAGAAGGAGGGTACTCTTAGGATGTGCATTGACTA